TTTTCATGGAACTGGAACAAATGGCCAAGAACTACTAATACACTCTAAAATAAGAGCATGGAGGAGCTTGAACTACCCAGATGTCAAAGATTATTCAACAGTAATAAGACGGTTTTTCATTGGCCCAAAGAGAGAAGTTGAAACAGAATAGAAAACCCATAAATAAATGTGCAAACATAGAGAAATTTATGTATGGTGGAGATGACACTGCAGATGAAAGGGTAACTAGTCCCGGTACAAATGACTGTCCATTCACAACCTCAGGAGCTCCCCCGGGAAAATGTGAAACTGGTCCCTGCACAGGGAGGGCAGAAAGCGGTGGAAGAGGCCATCTGCTCCAGATTGGTGGGTGGCCGGTTAAATAAGCAAGGGAATTTCCAGACAAGACTTGTCTTGAGCAGCAGCAAGATGAACAGATATCAGCACCCACCCGCCCACCAGAATCTTAAAAGTCTGCATCGAGGCCTTACCACGGTTCAGTCACATACACCATCCAGATGCTCTCCCCCGCCCCCCAGTGCTCTCTCAAAGCTGTCTGAAAATGGCTCCAGCTGTGGGAACCGTGGGCAGAACAGACATTCTAAGCAAAGGAGACAGGGAAGGAGCCCTCCATTGCCCAGGTCCAACTAGTGGGTCAACCGGCAGTCTCTTTCTTCTTCTTCCCCTTCCCCTTCCCCTTCCTCCTCCTACTCCTCCTCCTCCTCCTTCTCCCTCCTTCCCCTTCCCCTTCTCTTCTTCCCCTTCTCCTCCTCCTCTCCTCCTCCTCCTCCTCCTCCTCCTCCTCCTCCTCCTCCTCCTTCTTCTTCTTCTTCTTCTTCTTCTTCCTTCAGATTTATTTATTTATTTAGAGAAATTGAGTGCATACATGCTGGGGGAAAGGGCAAAGGGAGAGAGACAGAGAGAATCTCAAGTAGACTCTCCACTGAACTCAGAGCCTGATGCAGGGCTCAATATTATGACCTGAGATCATGACCTGAGCTGAAATAAAAAGTCAGATGCTTACAGGACTGAGCCACTCAGGTGCCCTGGCAGCAGTCACACTCTCTTGATGACCTTCTCCAACAATCTCTCTCATCACTTAATGGATTAAGTAGTAAATATGAAACACTGACATTTTTTATGTTTTAGAAAATACATAGGTGAATACCTTTAATGATAGCAGGGCAGAAAAGTATCTTTAAAAAACTATGAAAAAATACATGTATTAAAGAAAAAGATGGATCAATTCAGCTACATTAAAATTAAATAATTTTCTTCCTCAAAAAGCACCATATAAAGAAAATGAAGAAGTTTGTAACATGGATAGACATTCATTGCCAGAACAAAGAATTCTTAGCAAATCAGCAAGTAGAGAAGCAAACGATCAAAATCCAATATAAAAATACTTAAATGACATAGAGGAAAAATATGTTACCATATTATTTCCATATTATTGGGAAAATGCAAATTACAACTTAAATGAGATACCACTTTAAAAAACTAGGAAATCTGACAATTCTAAGTATCAGTGAAGATATGCCGTAAGGCAAATCTACCTGCTGATAGAGGGCAAACTGGCCCCAATGTCTCTGCAAAGTAATCTGGCATCAAGTAAAGTGAAAGGTAATTATACTGTATCATCTAGAAACTCTACTTCTAGATACTGATATTAGAACACCCACAGGTATATACAAAAATGCTTTACAGCAACGTTATCCATAATAGGAAAAGCTGGAAGCAACTTAAAATTCATTGACCAAAGAATGCACGAATTAATAGTGGTATATATCAGTGAAGATGAGTTAATTAGTCATCAACAGAAATAAATTACACAAAATATTGAATGGAAAACTCAAGTTGGAACTATATTTAATGTAAAAAATTCATTTATATATTGCTTAGAGATATATACATACATATGGTGGGCAGAATGATGACCATGCCCTACTCCTGGAACCCGTGGATATGTTACATTACATGGAGACATTATGGTTGTAATTAAAGATACGGGCCTTAACTTAGGGAGACAATCTTTGGTTATCTGGGTGGACTCAATTGAATTGCATGAGCCCTTGCAAGCAGAGAACTTGCTCCAGCAGATTGTATTAGAGAAATGTGTGCATGGGGTATGAGGTTTCAACCATTGTTTTTTTTGTTTGAGCTGACTGGAGGCTACATTAGTGTGCATGTTTTTATTATAGTTATCTATTCCTTCATAACAAAGTACTACCACCACCATCCCCAAATGGCAGCATAAAACAACAAACCTTTATTTTGGAGGGTTAGAAATTTGGGAATTTAGCTGGGTGGTTCAGGCTCAGGGTCTCTGAGGTTACAATAAAGTGGTCAGCTAAGGCCATAGTTATGTCAAGACTCAAATGAGGATTAATGATCCACTCCTAAGATCATTCATATAGCCAAGAGCAGAATTTAGTTCCTTGACATATGGGACTCTCCGTAAGGTTGCTCATGGCATGGATTCTCCCAAAACAAAGGATCTCAGAGCCAGAGACCAAGATGAAAGCTGCACTTTCCTATAAATTGATCTCAGAAGTAACATAACATCACCTCTGTTGCATTTTGTTGGCCATGTGAAGCCCTGCAAAGTCTCACCCCATGACATCACCTCAACATCTGGAACTCATCATCTTGTTTCTAACCTACAGCACCTAATGGCTCTGCTCTGCTCTATTTTTTTTTAAGACTTTATTCTTTTTTTCTTTTTTTTTAAAAGATCTTATTTATTCATGAGACACACATACAGAGAGCCAGAGACACAGGCAGAGGGAGAAGCAGACTCCCTGCAGGGAAGCCTGATGCAGGACTCAATTCTAGGACTCCAGAGTCATGACCTGAGCCAAAGGGAGATGCTCAATCCCTGAGCCACCCAGGTGCCCCTAAAGATTTTATTCTTAAGCAATCTCCACACCCAACATGAAGCTTGAACCCATGGCCCCGAGATCAAGAGTTGCATGCTCCATGAAATGAGCCAGCCAGGTGCCTTACCTAATGGCCCTGTTCTATGTAAAATAGCAGACAGCTGATGTGCAAGTCATCATAAATATGCCCAAGGGGAGAACTCAAGATGCAGTGACTGGCAAGATGTAGTGACTGGCACATTAATAAGGCCCCAGTGTAGACTGGGGCTAAAAACTCAGGTCTAGGAGTAGATGTGACCCCACAGGTGCTGTTCCTTACCTATAGCAAGTGCAGTAACTCTTCATCTGTAGATCTGTGCACTAAAGATATATTGTCCGCCTCCCCCACACCCAGTGTACAATGTGGGACCAAGCATACAATAAATGCTGTGGGTATTACTGCTCCAAAAGGAGAGAAAATGGGAGATGCAAGGGGGTCACTGGTCCATAGCAATTCTGAAATTCAGCCAGGCAAATGTTGGATTCGGTCCTCCTGCAGCCCAGAACTGACTCACCATGGCTCTTGGTCTCATCTAAGCTCTTGGCTTGTCCTCTAATTTCTCTCATCATTAAAGTAGCATGTGATTGCCTCTGAGTGGTTTTCTCAGGCTGGGTCCTGCTTTCTAGATGTCCAGAGGTCCAAAATCTCTCATTTTATATGTTCTGTACGTTTCAGTCCAAACTATTAACACTGATATAGGCCTCTTTAAAATGTTAGGGTCTCTTGACCATCCATGGGGTTAACTCCATTAGTATATGACATACACATAAATCTCTTCAGATCACTTCATTACCTTGGCTGGTGCTGAGGCGTCTCAGGGTAATGCCCTTAAGCTTCCTGGAGGCCCAATTTTTGAGGCTGTGAGGTGCATCCACAAACTCTTTAAAGAGCCTTTATTCTGACTTAATGTGCTCTGAGATATCACCTTGGCTTCTGAGGTCATGGGAAAGGATTTCATAGCCATACCTTTAGCTTCATCTTTAGGCCATGGTTTCCTGAGCATGCCCTGAATTTGATTTTTCTTTGAGATGGCAACAGTGAAAACGACTTAGGATGAGCTTCACCATCATCCTCAGAAATCTTTAAACTCCAAGCACATTGGCTAGTTCACTGGGAGAGGCAGTGGAATTGGCAAGAAAACCTCATGTCTGAAGAATGGAGAAGGAGTGAGATACAGGTGAGAGCCCTCTGTGGTCACCAGGCAGGCTTGCTGGATTCTAACCCATAGCACTGGGCTGCTGTGGGAGCTATGGTGGGGATGGGGGGGGGGGGTTGTGCAAATGTGCCAGACCAACCTTCTGGGAGTGGGCTTTCACATGAAGGCCCACTGGCTCCAGCACTAAGGAGGGAAAACTGTAGGACACTGCACTGTTGGGAACTGTAAAGGATCTCAGCTTTTACCCAACTGAAGCTAACCGGTTAGTCTGACAGTTTCACTGGTGGCAGAAGAAAGATTCTGGGTCAGGGACAAAGAACTTGGCTACTCAGCATAGCAATTCCTATGAGCATCAGCATATGTTCATCCATTTCTCCTGGCCCCTGAGTCCCCAGGACATCAACCTGGATGGGCCCCAGCAAAAACCTGCACACACAGTGGGTTGCCTTAGAGGAGAGAAACCCTGAATTTAGGGAACTGTAATTTTTTTTTAAATTTTTTTTTTAAATTTTTATTTATTTATGATAGTCACAGAGAGAGAGAGAGGCAGAGACACAGGCAGAGGGAGAAGCAGGCTCCATGCATCGGAAGCCCGATGTGGGATTCGATCCCGGGTCTCCAGGATCGCGCCCTGGGCCAAAGGCAGGCGCCAAACCACTGCACCACCCAGGGATCCCGGGAACTGTAATTTTTTACTATGGGCATTAAGCTTGCCTTCCCTTTGCTGTGGAGAGACACTACGTTTGTGAGACTGAGAAGTAAGGGTGCCTGCTCTTTGCTTCAGAAGTGTCTTCTCTTTGCTTTGGAAATACTCTCCCTGTTTCCCAAGGATGTTCACTAGACACATATTCTTGAAAATATAACCAAGAGCAAAGGGCAGTTTGTGCCTTGCTTGCAAGACATGAAGAAACACAAGAGACCTATGAGAAATTCTCTTCGATTTCAGGTGCAAGTAATCATTAATGAAGCATGCCACAGAGACAAGTGCTGTTAATAACTCAAAAGTGATGATGTAGACTTTGAGAGTTGGTCATAAAAAGCATTACAGCTTCCATCTTGGATCACTCACTCTGGAGGAATCGGACACCATGTTTGTGAGGACACTCAAGTAAGTGGCCCCATGGAGACATCCAGGTGGTGAGGGAGGAGTCTCCTGTCACAGTCATGTGAGTGAATCATTGGGAACCCCAACCAAGCCTTCTCATGACTGCAGATACAGCCAACATCCTGCCCTCAATCTCATGACAGAACCACCCAGATAAGCCATCCTTAAACTCTTGACCTACAGAAACCATGTTAGGCAATACATGTTTGCTGTTTTAAACTGCTAGGTTAGGGGTGATTTGTTCCATGCCAATTGAGAACTAATAAAACCATCAAAATAAACAGGTTTTTATTCAGTGTTGAGGTTTTTCAACTTAATTTGCAACATGAACAAATGTACATGATGTTGAATCTTCAACAGAATGAATTTCCAAAAAGTTCATTCAGTTCCTTAACTGAATTCTTAAAATTTTGAACCAACTTTGGCACGGACTTACACTGATTTCTTTTGATGTATCTATCCCATGACATTAGTATAAAACTGGCATCTAAGTTCTGCTAATGAAACACATCAATAATTATAGCCTTGCTTTTCATATGTGAAATAAGAAAAACTAGAACAGAAAATGAAATTATTTTAGAATAATCCCTTGAATTACTTAAATGAAGTCATGCTTCAATGTGCTTTCCGCAGTAGCATGTGCTAAAACTTCGTCTTAACATAGTCATCTTAAAATAGTGAGGAATTCTTGAAGTAGATGCGGCTGCTTATTTAGTGGATTTGGTAGGTGCCGGTGTCTCCCTGGCTCCTATGGTATATATTAAATGTCATTTTCCTTCATTAGTTTTCTGAGTTTACGCAAATGTAATCAAAATTTAGAGGGCTTGTTAGAATAGCCTTGATGCCGTTGTAGCACACTTATATGAATTTATAACATGGGCTCGAATCTCCAATGTATCTAAAACCCAATTTACAATAGGCAGCAAAGAGAAAAGTAATGCATTGCTCTGCTGAAATATATTAATATTAGCTTACATGTTTATTTATAGTGTTCAGTTAGTAAAAAGAGTGCGTGTGTCCAAATTAACCACAGGGTATTTGATAGTGTATCACAGTTTGGATGTAATCCTAAATTATATAGTTACCTCAACCAATTTGAAATTTATTTCTCCTTCATAGCTTTCTTAAATTAAAAAGAACATTGTTTTTGCTGTAATAGTGCTCCATTGAAATCTGAATGTGCATTATCTCCATCATGGGGATTTTATTTTTAAAAATAATTTATTTAATTATTCATGAGAAGCACACACACAGAGAGAGAGAGAGAGAGAGAGGCAGAAACACAGGCAGTGGGAGAAGCAGGCTCCATGCAGGGAGCCCAACGTGGGACTCAATCCCAGGTCTCCAGGATCAGGCCCTGGGTCGAAGGCGGCGCTAAACCCCTGAGCCACCTGGGCTGCCCCAATCATGGGGATTTTAAAGTTATGTCCCCAAATTCTTTGACACTTGTCCCTTCAAAAGGTGGAGCCTACTTCTGTAGCCACGAGTGTGAGCTGTGCTTAGTGATTCCCATCAGAGATGACCACATGCATGCCAGAGGGAAATCAGTAATAGCCACAATGAAGTACATGTAGAAATTTATTTCAAAATGTGAAAGTAAAAGGGATATCCAATATGATTCCTGTATTAACAAACAATTTAAAAACGCTCACTTTTAGATAACTGGGTCAAATTAACAATCATATTGAAAATTATGAGATGAAAAAGCACATGCCAACTTTTGCGAAACAGAGTTCAAGAAGTATAGAGAAATACACCCCTCAAATGCACCTATCAGAAAACAAAAAATAGACAAAATAAGTAAACATTCAACTCAACAAATTACAAAAATGCTAAGAATAAACTATCAGAAAGTATAAAGAAATATTAGAATAAGCCAAGAGAGAGGAATTTATCCCAAAAGACAGGAAAAGAAAAAAAAAAAAGAAGTTAATAAAACATAAGAAAATCTGGAGGGGGGGGTGTTTTAAAAAAACCAACATGTTTCTCTGGAAAGATTAACTAGATAAATGTATCTAATAAAGTAGACCAAGAAAAAGAGAAGTGAGGTACAAATAAATATTAGGGATGAAAATATCATATTTACAAATAGAGTATAAGTGTTAAAAATTATAAGAAAATACCATGAATAACTTTACAGCAATAGATTTGAAAACAGATGAAATGGATAATTTCCATAAAAAATAAAACTTACTAACTTGTGAGAAACAGAACACTTTAAAGTCTCTGACATTTAAAGCCCCTGAATTAGTTCAGTATCTGCCCATTCCACCCTCACCCCATAAAATAAAAGCACCAGGTGATTTTTAGGTGAGTTTTACCAAACACTCAAGAACCCGAACTCATTTTATGATACTAGTATATCATTGATAGCAAAACCAAATGGAAACAACACAAAAAACCATAGGTTAATCTCACTTATAAATATACAGTACAAGAAAGATCATAGCTTGATTTTATTTGTGAACAAAGATGCAAAATTTGAAAAAACTATTTTTTAAACTCACAAATATATTACTGGTAATAATAGCATTGATCATGACCAAGTAGGGTTTATCCCAAGAGTGTAAGAATGGTTCAACATTAGAAAATCTATTTATGTAATCCACCTCAAGGATAGAGGAAGGAAAAAAAAAAACTTGTCATTTAAATAGATGTGGAAAAAGCATTTGATAGAACTCATCAGCCATTCAGGACTTTAAAATATAAGGAAAGAACAGAAAGAAACTTCCTAATACAGAATATGTGCCCCAAACCGGTATGTGTATCACAGTTAGTACTTAAAATATTCCACCTTAAAGTTGACCAAGAAACAAGGAAGACTGTTTACTAAGAGGTACAGCACAGTAAGATGAGAAAAAAAGATGTGACATTCTATACGCACAGTCCTCAGAACTACTGGCAAGTTGACGACAAAGCTCCAAGTTATATAGAGGATTGAAGAGGTCTTAAATTAAGGAAAGTGCTTTCCCAAAAATATAATTAATTTTAATCTTGTGAAAATTAACTATAAAACCATTTCTAGTAAGACATGTCAAAATGTATGCTTTTTGTTGATAGAAAATATGACCTTTTCACTTTCTAAAGGCTGTCAGTTTTTGTTATTAGGTAAGAATTAAACTCTGACAACGTAGAGTTCTGTTTGATTTCTCTCTCTTTTCCAGCAATGGCCAGAATCCCAGCAACAGAGCTTTCAGAAGATCTGACCCAAGTAGTAAAGCAGTTTCTTCAACATTTCTAGCACCATAATTTGACTGGCTCACCGAGAAGAGACAGTGTGACATGCTATTCATGTCAGATTCTCTAGCACCAAATTTCAAGTTAAGAAATATTTTTAAAACTCAAGTTAAGAAATATTTTTAAAACTATAAAACTATGGGTGGCTCAGTGGTTAAGCATCTGCCTTCGGGTTCAGGGTGTGATCCCGGGGTCCTGGGATCGAGTCCTGGATCGGGCTCCCTGCAGGGAGCCTGCTTCTCCCTCTGCCTATGTCTCTGCCTCAGTCTCTCATGAATAAATAAATAAATATTTTTAAAAATCTCTATAAAACTATCAATAAAGATCTCTCTGTGTGGGTCTGGTATCGGAACCTGACAGCCCACCTTCCACTTCCATCTGCCAGGGAAGTATCTTCAAACTTTATTGCTTGCATACCTCTGAACACATTTTGGGAAAACATATACCACTTCACATTATTTTTAAATTGATAACTGACATTTACCACCATGAATTTAAATAAGTTTAAATAAGATAATTTCCAGTGGCATAACATACTTACATTTTTAAGAACTGTTGTATCATTCTTTTAAATGTATCTAATAGAATCTAAATACAATAGCAATTTGATTCCCACCATCATTGTATTGTCTGTGGTCATACCATCTTCAACGTGCACCATCTCATCTGATTCCCACCATCACCAATATAATAATACAAGAACAAACTCTTCGTCAGACATTTAACATCATCCACTGGGTCAATACTTTTATTCCACTTTCGTCACAGATTATAGCATATTTTAGTGCTTAAATTATTTTTATTTGCCCCCATAATACTGTTCGGTAACGAAATATGAATATAAGTTGAAATTTAAAAAAAAAATTCCTGTGACGAGACTATAGGTATTAAAAATACATTTTCTAAATTATTAAATAACTACTAGAACACAAATGATAAAAACATGAGGAGAAAAAATATAATAGCAACACGGAAAAGAACCTAAGACACATAGTTTATAGTGAAAAATGAATAGAACAGGAGAGAAAGAATGAAGCAAAAGTGCTATTTGAAGAATTCATGCCTCAGAATTTTCCAAAAATGACTAAGGACAGCAAATCACAGATTCAAGTAATTTTACAATCCCAAACAAACAAAATCCACACCTGGAGATACCACAGTAAAACTGTTTAAAACCAAAAACAAAGAGAAAATCAAAACAGCTGGGGGAGGGTTGGGTGAGGAATACATTTCTTACAAGGAATAATAAAACTCTAATTCTTTCCAACAGGAACAGTGGAATTCCAAAAGACACATGACACTGCCCAGGTGACTAATGACCAGAACTGCCAAAGACACAGGGAAGAGTGAAGATCAATACACAATAGAGAGTACATATGACAAATACAAACTAATATACAGACTAATAAAGCAATAATGTCTTGTGGGTTTAAAATATAAAGAAACACTTGAAAGCAACAGTACAAAAAAAAATAGTATTGAAGTTATTCTAAGGTCCTTGAATTGTCCTCCAGGAAGCGGTTAAAGTTTTAATTTACACAAGGCATTAAGTACAAATTGTTATAAACTCTAGGATAACCTTGAATAATAAACCATACATATTTTTATGATGTAAAGATAATAGAAAAGTATGAGAATAAAAATACTCATGAAGACTATGGGTGCCTGGAAAACAAACTATGGGCGCCTCCCAAGTCTAAAAGAAGACAAAAAAGAACACAAAAGCAATGAGACAGTTAGAAAGCTATAACACTTACCTATTATTACATAAATGAACTTAATATTACCCTTAAAAAACAAAGATTGTTAGACTGAATAGAAAACAATTGACATTTTAAAGGCATATGCAACTCTAGAGAATAATGGTCATTCACGTTTGCAAATAATGACTACTATTAGGAAGGACCACAGCACTTACACAAATACCAGAACAGTTCTAAGAGACACTATTGGTTGTCCTTCTGTATCTGTTCTCCTTACCTTCCTCAGCCATAGAACTCTTGATTTTTAGCTGGCCTTATAGCTAGTAGGAATAAGACTATATTTTCTAGCTCCTCTTCTCTTGAAGCTAGGATTGAAATGAGAATAAATATATTGAAATGAGGATATAAGTGCATGTCGTGTGTGATTTGTGAAAAGTATCCTTATAGAGGCAAGCAAATTCATCTTTTTTCCTTTGTGCTGACTGTAAAGTGCATAAAATAACTGTAGCTTGAGCTGTCAACTTGGACCATGGGATGGAATCACAATCTGAGAATAGTGAGACAACTAAGAAACCCAGGTCCATGTATATACATAAGACACCTCAGTCTGTTATGATTATGGAGCTTTCATACCAGACCTGATGTGCTTACATCTAGACTTCATTTCCGAAGGAGAGAAATTTCTGGTTTAAACCACATTTGCTTTGGATTTTTTGTTATTTAGAGGAACCTAATTAATACTGAATTCTTAAGAACTGCCTCCTAAATTAAAGAGCATTAACATCCCTCTAAAAAGTAGATCTTGGTCTAGTATCCAGAATATATATATTTTTTAAGCCTTACAACTAAACAACAACAATTTAAAAACGAACAAAGAATTTATGTAGCTATTTTTCCAAAGAAGACACAAATGGTCAATGGACACATGAAAAGATGCTCAACATCTTTAGTCATTAGAAATTCAAATCAAAATCAGAATGAGATACCACTTCACATCATTGGAATGGGTACAATTGGGGAAAACAAAATTGTAAGCATTGGCGAGGATGTGAGGATCTTGGAACCCCTGTACACTCTGGGAATATAAACTGTGGCAGCTGCTATGGAGAACAGTTTGGTGTTTCCTCAAAAAGCTAAAAAAAGAACTACCAGCAATTCTGCTCCTATGTCTATACCCTGAAGAAATGAAAACATGAACTCATAAAAATACTTGTACATGAATGTTCACAGACACATTATTCACAGAAGCAAAAAGAAACAATTCAAATGTCCATCAAAGGATGAATGGATAAACAAACTGTGGTATACACGTGCTATAGAATATTATCCAGCTATAAAAGGGAATGATGTACTTGATACGTGCTACAATGTGGATGAGCCTTTAAAACATGCCACGTACCCCAAATAGCCAGGGGAATACCAAAAAAGAAAACCAAGCCAGGGGCATCACAATGCCAGATTTCAGGTTGTACTACAAAGCTGTGGTCATCAAGACAGTGTGGTACTGGCACAAAAACAGACACATAGATCAATGGAACAGAACAGAGAACCCAGAAGTGGACCCTCAACTCTATAGTCAACTAATATTCGACAAAGGAAGAAAGACCATCCACTGGAAAAAGGACAGTCCCTTCAATAAACGGTGCTGGGAAAATTCAACAGCCATGTGCAGAAGAATGAAACTAGACCATTCTCCTACACCATACACAAAGATAAACTCAAAATGGATGAAAGATCTAAATGTGAGACAAGAATCCATCAAAATCCTAGAGGAGAGCACAGGCAACACCCTTTTTGAACTTGGCCACAGCAACTTCTTGCAAGATACATCTATGAAAGCAAGGGAAACAAAAGCAAAAATGAATTATTAGGACTTAAGATAAAAAGCTTCTGCACAGCAAAAAAGAAACAGTCAACAAAACTCAAAGACAACCTACAGAATGGGAGAAGGTATTTGCAAATGACATATCAGATAAAGGGCTAGTATCCAAGATCCATAAAGAACTTACCAAACTCAACCTCAAAGAAACAATTCAATCATGAAATGAGCAAAAGACATGAACAGAAATCTCACAGAGGAAGACACAGACATGGCCAACAAGCACATGAGAAAATGCTCCGCATCACTGGCCATCAGGGAAATACAAATCAAAACCACAATGAGATCCCACCTCACACCAGTGAGAATGGGGAAAATTGACAAGGCAGGAAACCACAAATGTTGGAGAGGATGTGGAGGAAGGGGAACCATCTTGCACTGTTGGTGGGAATGTGAACTGGTGCAGCCACATGGGAAAACTGTGTGGAGATTCCTCAAAGAGTTAAAAATAGACCTGCCCTACGACCCAGCAATTGCATTACTGGGTGTTTACCCCAAAGATACAGATGCAGTGAAATGGCAGGACACCTGCACCCCGATGTTTATAGCAGCAATGTCCACAATAGCCAAACTGTGGAGGGAGTCTTGGTGTCCATCGAAAGATGAATGGATAAAGAAGCTGTGGTTTATGTATACAATGGAATATTGCTCAGCCATTAGAAATGCCAAATACCCACCATTTGCTTCAACTGAGTGAAGAAAGTCATTGCATCTGCTGAGTGAAGTGTCAATTGGAGAAGGACAATCCTTATATGATTTCACTCATATGGGGAAATATAAAAAATTGTGAAAGTGATATAGGGGAAAGGAGAGAAAATGAGTGGGAAAAATTAGAGAGGATGACGAAACATAAGATACCTCTAACTCTGGGAAACGAACAAGAGGTAATGAAAGGGGAGGCGGGCTGGGGGGATGGGTGACAGGCACTGAGGAGGGCACTTGACAAGATGAGCACTGGGTGTTATGCTATGTGTTGGCAAATCGAACTTCAATAAAAAAATATACATATATATTTTTTAAATGCCAAGACACAAAAGGTCATGTGTTGTATAATTCTATTTATATGAAATATCTGGAATAAGGTAAATCCATAGAGATTGGTGGTTACCAGGGGTAGGGTGGGAGATTTGGAGGTATAACTGTTAAATGTACTAAATGCCACTAAGCTGTCCATTTAAAAATGATTATGTTATGTGAATTTCACTTCATTTTTTTAGAAAGGAAATCTGGCCCAAAATTACAGCACCAAGAAAGCTATCAGAAACAGGTTTTATAATAAAACCTGAATAAAAGACCCTAGTAAAAGTCCTAATAAAATACTGTTCTATAGCCAGTAACAAGTAAATCTGAACCAGTTTTATTTATTTATTTTTATTTTTTTAAAGATTTTACTTATTTATTCATGAGAGACACAGAGAGAGAGGTAGGGACACAGGCAGAGGGAGAAGCAGGCTCCATGCAGGGAGCCCGATGTGGGACTTGATCCCAGGTCTCCAGGATCACACCCTGGGCCCGAAGGCATGTGCTCAACCGCTGAGCTACCCAGGCATTCCTGAACCAGTTTTAAAACTATGTGATCAATCATAACTTGCCTCAGTTTAATCTTAATTAACCAATGACAACTTGCCTCTTGAAGCCAATCATTCAGTGACAGTCTCATACTTCTAAGGTCAACCAATCAACAAGAAACTTATCAGTAAGTCTGCTGAGAACAGGCTGGCCACACGTCTTGCCAGAATAACCATGTTTGTAAGGCTGACATCAATCTACTTCACCTCTGCAACCAACACACCACCAAAACAATCCCTGAGCCAAAAAAGTTATATAAAATTTGCAGTTGGGTTTACTCAAAATGATGGGCCATTAGCATAATTCCCTCTTTCCCAGCTCTTGTTTCAGTTATCAAGTGGTAATCTTGATCTCTTCCTTGGACAATTCTCACAAGATTATTTATAATACCTCACTTGACAGTATTCCAGTGGGTCCTTGGACCAACAAGGAAAGATCAGTGGCTTCTCAAGCCCCACACTCCCAAAGGTCTCAGATCTGTTGCCAGGTGAGTTTCTCAAAAACAATCTGAACTTCTGACCAGTTTCACCGAGTTCTTATTGCTGAATTTATTTTACCTAAGACTTCTAAACAAATAGATCTCCATCTAAGGTTATTTATTGTACTTTGTCTTGTCTGTATGATAATCAGACCTTCTGATTTAAAGGGGAACCATTTGGTAAATATTTTTGCCATTATCCTATTTTCCCACTGCTTGGTTTTCACATTTTTGTTCATCTATTTATACAAATCTTGTTTTATATACTCCTGCTTTGTCCCTTATTGTCTTGCACGTACTGAATGTCTAAGGAAGTGCTTCATAGGGAACACACAAAGGCACAGGCTAAGCCTCCAAATCAATATAAATTGGCCCTAAAGACTAATAGCCCATTAGACTGATGACAACTGGTTGCTAAAATGATTGGTCAAATTTAGCTTTGGGTCCTCTATTAAATCTTCATGAGTATTCCTCAAGGCTTGGCGATTTGTAAAAGAAATTCACTTTGTTTAGTCCTTATTTTAGGATCATTAATGACTGGGGGCACTGATCACCAGCTCCTTCCTCTTCTCTGCTTGGCTGGGGATGCTCATCTACCATAAATGAACACACTTTGAACAAATACAGTGCCTTTATCTTGTCATTGATTTGTCTATCTCAAAGGCACAACCTTCTCCTGACAGTTTTCTTTCTTTCTTTTTTTTTTTTAAAGAGTTTATTTATTCATGAGACACACACAGAGAGGCAGAGGGAGAAGCAGGCTCCCTGCTGGGAGCCCAATGTGGGACTCATCCCAAGACCCTGGGATCACACCCTGAGCTGAAGGCAGACACTCAACTACTGAGCCACCTAGGTGTCCTGAAGTTTTCATTCTAATCCTATCTTTTGTGCTTAACTTGGTGAGTGGCAAAATTTTGCTAAAGAATGACTTAGAATTACTTATAGCCATCATAAGGAACTTCTGATATGCCAAAATTAATACAAAGGAGCTCTAGAAAAATCAGGGGAAAAAAGTCTGAAGTACTCAACAGTCAATTTTTGATTGGTATGCTGAGACGTCAAACTAAAATAGTGACTCACTGCCGTTCAAATCTTCTAAAATCCACTTCCTCACACCTTTCCCTCTACCCAGCGGCTCGATCTTTACCAAACTCCTTCCATCTTTCTGCACCTTCTTTTACTTCCAAAAAAAGTGATCTTTTGCTTAAAGTTTTTCTTAGGACAGAATGATTACATCATATCATAACCCTTCAAAACCATTAGGGCAGGATGCAGATATAAAGAAACTGATATTTGAAACTTGGTCTGGAGTCAAGCAGAGAGCTATAATCAAGGATTTTCTTAACCTTTGGAAGACAAATTTGCTGTAGAATTCAGAATTTTGTTAGATACTTATTGTCCTGGAGTCTGTACAAACCAGTTCCCTTAACTGTTAGCCCCTCAGATGAGAACAAAATAGTTAAAAACAGCAAAATCAGTAACAACAAAGATCCCAAAACTAGGAGATGGTTTAAATAACCCAGTTCTTCCTATTTCAAGGTATGACCCTACAAGGGGACGCAAATAGGAAATGTACTATGTAAGGCCAGAAGTCTTGCTCTCATGAGTAGGTTGGACAAAAACTCAAAATTATAAACAAATAAGATAGGTAAGTGGAAGACTCTGAAAACTGACCCAGGAAAAATTTCAAACAATGTTCTGGGTACCCTCAAGCCCTCAAGAACTATTTTGTAATGGCAGATGGGCTTGTCTTTTTTTTTTTTTTTTTTTAATGAAAATGGGACTCAAAAATGCCAATTTAGAAGTTATCACTTAACATTTCAAAAAGCTAGAAATAAAAAATTTCTGACCCTCAAGATAAAACACCTGGTATCAAAAATAAGAGCAAAAGGTCCATAGGAAAAATTAATGTCCTATAATGGCTAAAAACCGGGCAACTATCTAAAGTCTCTTTAGTAATTCCACTCCAGTACACAATAGCACTTAAAAAAATTCCTTACCTTCTAAACTAGGGAGACAGGTTTACAAATATAGATGGACAACAAAATACAGATATGGGTCACTTTACCCACTAATAATTCCACTACCACAGAGCACCAGATCCCTCAGAGTACTAAAACCACTCAAATGGTAGAAATGTCTACATCTATGAACTGTTATTCTGGGACTAATATGAGGATATAGTACTTTCTTCATGACACAACCATTTAATAGGTAAGGTTCTACTTAATAAATGGAACTGCCAGGTAACATTTGCTGCAGGATTATTTTTAAAGCTGTGGAAATTTCTATCTATGATTAAAGTATGGCTGATTTGGACATGTAACTACACTGTGTATGCGATTACAGAAATAACCAAATGATAAGCTATGAGCCCAGAATTCTTACAGGCAAAAGACTCTCAAGACACAGATAAAGTATTTCGAGCTGAAATTAACAGTCTAGACTGAGTCTTCCACCTTTCTTTTTGTCTGTACATGTAAAGTTAGCCCTGGACTACAACTGTCCCACGCACAGTCACTAGCCACATGTGGCTAATGAGCCTTGAAATACACCAAATGTGACAAAGGAACTAAATTTAAATTTACTTAATTTTAATTAAAATTTCAAAATGGACATGTGATCCAGCTATTGGAAAACTTTCAAAGTATGTTTAGAAAAACTTAGGTATGTGAATTTACTTTCTTAATTGTAAATTTTCTGAAATTTAAATACAGATCAAGTATTTCTGACGAAAATTTCCTACATGAACTGAAATCTGTAATTTTAAAATAACACTGGATCTCAGAAACTTAAAATAGAAAACGTAAAATCTCTGATTCTCAGATTACACATTGAAATAGCATTTTGGATACTGAGTTAAAATGTGTTAAAATTAATGTCACCTTACATTATTATTTCACATTACATTGTTCCCTTATATTTCACCTTACTTTGTTATTTCTTCTTATATTCTTTAATGTGGCTACTAGCAAAATTTAAAATAACATATGTGGCTCACATTATATTTCTCTTCAATAGTGCTTGATTAGTTTATGCTCTACGGCAATGGTTCGGAACTAGCATTAATTTTGCCACCCAGGGGACATCTGGTAATGTCTGGAAATTTTTGGTTGTCACAGCTGAGATGTTGCACTGGCATAAAATAGATGGAGGCCAGGAATGCTGCTAAAGATCCTACAACAAACAGGGCAGCCCCTCAAACAAAGGATTATGCACCTTAAAATGCCAAGAGTACTGAGGTTGAGAAGCTCTGCTGAATTGTTTTTCAGCAGCATGGCACACATAAAAAAACCCATTGTCTCTGATTAGCATTCCTTTGATCCAACAGCTTATTTTCCCTTGCATCAAAGAAACTGCAGACTAGACTATTTAAAATTAGTTGAAGCACCTTCGCATTTGTACTAAGTTCACATTAAGTCTGATTATTATCAACCATAGCTAATAATCACAATGCTGAAAGACTGAAATCAAGAACAAGACAAGGATATCTACTCTCAACACTTCTATTCAACATTGGAGGTTCTAACCAAGGCAGTTAGGCAAGAAAAAGAAAAAGAAAGGAATTCAGATTGGAAAAGAAGTGAAACTCTGATTTGCCAGTGACATGATCTTGTATATAGAAAATCTTAAGGAATTTATGCCACACACACACACACACACACACACACACACACACACAGCCCTATTAGAATAAATTAGTTCAGCAAGGTTGGAAGGTACAAGATCAATATGCAAATTAAATCCGACGGTACCATATAAAGTATATATTATCACTTTCTCATTTTACTATCCATTGGTATAGCCTTCTCAAATCCATTAACTCTATTATCTTTAGCTGATGAAGGAGAATCCCATGATGAACGTTCTGCAGTTCAAGTAGTGTCTATGTCCAGAACAGACATTTTGAACACCGCACTACTAAATTCTTTCAAATACTGCTTGTTAATGAGTTTTATCTTTAAAAATGAGAAGACTATTATCTGGATATATAATACACCAGAGTCTTTTAGAATCTAGTACCTTACCAGAATCCAAATAGGCTCAAGTGGACAAACTTGTGATCTCTTACAGGCCTCTTTTTTAAAATCTTTTATAGGACACATCACATTGCTTAAAAGAGATAGCCAGTATATTTTTGAAATAACGTATCAATCTGGAATGCCACAGAAAGAGAGGTTCCTTAACCTCCTCTGACACCCCTAATAAAATCTGGATAGGAAATATACAAGTTATTTGATGCTTTGGTGCCATCTAAAGAAGTTGTTATCCTTAAAAAGAAATCCAGAGTTAAAAAGACATCACCAAAACTGTTCAATTAAGCAGACCCCCATGCTAAACACCTTGCTGAGCTCAAATTCTTTTTTAAGAACTTTTATTAAAAAAAAAAAAAAGACAAATTCATGGAGAAGTTCAAGCATTCTATCACAAATAGCCAAAGTTATTGCTTCCAATTTTGAAACAGAGAAAAAAATGGGTTGGAAGAACTTAGGGAGAAGAACTGGCAAAGCCAGAAAAGCCACCCCATTGCACCAGATAAAACCTAACGCAGGCACATGTCAAATTCTTCCATAAAACAACTTAGTACAGTGAGGACAAACTAATCACGATAATCAACAAGCAAGGCAAAGGAGCACCTGGATAGCGGAGGATATGGCTATCCGAGGAAAGTCCTGGAACAGTAAGAGTAGATAGAGGACTACTTACCTCCTCTTCAAGATTAATTATAAAGCTATCTTACAAATAAAAAGAATTTTTGTGTAGAATTAACATAGATAAGTAAGCCAATGGAATAGAATACAGAGTCCAGAAACCAATCTGCACATGTAAGGGGATTTGGTAATATGAGAGAAGAAGTACTACAAAGTTTAACGGGGAATGAGCATATTATTTAATAAAAGATGTTATGAGAATTAGCTATCAATTTGGGGTATGATTTCTACCTTACAAAAATCACAAAATTTAATGTGAGGTGGTGAATTAGACATATTTTGAAATTTATAACTTTTGAAACAAAATGGAATTTTTTAGACTTTGGGAAAGGAATAAATTTTTAAAACCTAACACAAAAAAGGCTCAATCATAAAGGAAAAAGATGATAAATCTGACTAAACTTAACTGTGAAATTCTATATAATTAAAGAAGGCCACAGACCATATTAAAGTCAACCCAACATACTAAAAGCAGCCATGTCATAGAAAAAAGTAGGCATATAGATAACAAATTCACAATGACCAATCAGTATATGAAATGAAGCTAAGGTTCTTAGTAGCCAGGGAAAGATGAATGAAAACAAAAAGCTACTATCTCACAGCTCTGACTAGAAAATTTTAAAAATCTGATAAGACTACTGGTGATGAGGCAAGAAAAACAAACTCTTTTATATTGCTGTTGGTAGCGGAAACTTGCACACCACTTTGGAGGGCAATCTGACAATATCCAAAGTCACAAAGTATACATATCAACTACTAAAAATCCATTTGGAGGCCTATGTCCAGAATATCTAGGACATTTGCATGAGAAAATGTTATTAAGAATGTACACTGGCAGCACTGTTCAAAACAGCAAAAAATAATAACTGAAATGACCATTATTGGGGGAATTGGCAAGTAAACTAATATACTAAACAGCAGTTATGTTGAGGGGAATAGCAAGTTACAAAAGATTACATACATAGGCTATCGCAAATAAAAATATTTGTTAACTGCTATATATTATTTATGGATACAAACACAGTATAAAATCTTAAGTAGATATATTTCATTTTTTTTATACTTTTATACTTCAGAACAGGACATTAGCTCTAGGGAGGGAAAGAGGAGATGGCATCAGGGTGGAGTACAAAAGAGGAACATTTTATTTCTTTAAAAA